GGAAACTAGTCCAGTTGAACTGTCACCCCCATGACAAAAATCTGTGTTAATCAGATGCCAAAGGATGACAGAAACGCTCACAGGGCTCCCTAGTGCAATCAAACAATGTGACATAACACCTTGTGCAGCATCCTATATGCACAGGGAGAAAAGAGTAGAATTTCTTTCAGCGATAATTAAGAAATGGAAAAGAGAGATCAGTAGGATAAAAAAGGTTAAAATAAAGAGTAAAAACCTACGCAGCTGCATCTCAGAAGTCTTCCACCTTGGTCTTTCATATCTTTGCAATCATTTTTTCAGAGTGCTTCCCTAGTGCAGGCCAGAGAGAATTTTTTATGAACTCCTGAAAATAGATTTAAAATTCACAAAGTCTCATAACAACCACTATGCTTCCTGCCACTCTCCTGTATGGTCGTTTTTCAGCTGAGAACTCAGCAAAGCTCAACAGACTGACGTAGGGCCGTGACTGGGCTGCTAAACACCCTCTGATGTGGAGGATATGATATTCTACAGCCGTTGGCCTGTATGAATTTTTAGCCGGATTCATACCTAAGCCTCTTTTGGCCTTTCAAATCCATCAGAAAGACACTGTGTTACTGGAGATGCATTAGTACCATCTACTGTTGGTAAGTCAGTATTGCACCTTAAGATATTTGTATTCCTCATGCTTTTTGTGTTGTTACTTATTTATCATGCTGGTTTATTTATTTATCTTATAAGATATTTATTTAACTTATTAAATATTAAATATTTATTTATCTTATAAGATAAGATTAATAAAAATAGAGACCACTCAACAGGAGTTGGTGACATCGGTACTCAGGAACTCATCCATGAACGTGCAGTGCTGCAGTCCAAACACAGCCTGGCATGAGGGAGCAGGAGAGATGGAACAAATAAACTGCAATGTCTTGGGAACAACTTTCTCACCTCCCCAGCAAACAGTCGCACAAAAAATATATTCCCAACTCACGCACTGCAGAAAGAGTTATCTTTTATCACTAATTTAAGCTGACTGAAAAACCTGACCAGCTCTGTTGCATAAGGAAATCACGTGGCTGGGTCAGAACGTTCTCTGGTAAAAATCAGCATAGCTCCAGGGACCTCCACTCGGGTGGATCTGAGCCAATTAACTCTGCCTTGTGTACAGAGGTCTGATAAGTGAGCCTGTGCTGTGGTTTAAGTCACCACGAAGAGCACAGACAAGGCCAACTTTTATCTGCTGCTGTTTGCTCACAAAGGTGAAAAGATAGTTGGTCCAGTAATCCAAACTACTGGGCTGAATGCCAGCTGGTATAACCTCATCGACTTCAGCAGAGTCGCTCCAGATTCAAGTTTGTGTAACTGAGACTATAATCCAGCCTTCCTCCCCTCAAGCCAGAGCCATTTGACTTAGATATATGTCCTTACTGGCACAGCCACATAAAACGGCCTTGCCATAGGATCTACATACAGTATAAAAGACATTAGCTTCTACATTCACCTGACTTTATATCCATTTGCTTTTCTCATTTGTGATGGCAGGTTCTGAAGGAGCCTATGCAGTAGATCTTAAGTTCAGGTTATTTTATCAGCTTTTTTCAATTCTCCTTTTTAAAGGATACATAGAAAAATATCTAACAGTTCTGTAGTCACTGCACGCCAGACTCCCACGCGGGGGAGACAGCATTATCTCCATATTACTCTTGCCTGTCTCCACAGTTTCTCCCTTTTCGTTATGACGGGACAGATTAGGACTGCCTTCGCTCTAAGCAGGGCCCTGGCTACGCCTGCTGGGACTGGCTTGTGCCTATGGCTGCTGGATCATAGGACAGTGCAGACAAGGGCTCTAGATGCATGCCTGACGCTGCTCTGTTTCACACAGACCAACCGTTCAATCTCTCCAGGTTTTAGTGACTGACAATGTCTGACAGGCTCTTCCATTCAAAAAAATGCTTTCCTTGCTGTTACTCCCCCATAGCCTTCAATTTGCAAGAATACAAGAGCCGCACTTTCCTGTTGTCCTCCTCTATTAGGGACTCTGCTCATCTTAGAAGACCTTCCCTGCATCCACTTCAACCGAAGCCCAGTCCTGAGCGGTGGTGACTACACCAGGGCACCGGACTGCAGCTGCTGTGCCAGTTCCTTGGACATGGCATTCACACCTCCTCGTTCTGCTGCTGCTCAGAGACCCTCAGATACTGCATTTCTTTTCAGATGCGTCACGCTGACATCCGACAGCCAGGCCAAATGTCCACATTTTCCTGTCCCCTCTTTTATCCCACTGGTGAGCTTACAGCAGCACATCCCCACCTACAAGGCACAGGTTTTCTCTTCTTTTCATTAAGTTTCAGACCACTTCTGATCTTCCAGTCCTCAAGGTCACCTGGCCCTTTATGCAGAATATCCTGATCCTCCTTTATTGAGGGTGCCCTCTAAATGTCACCAGCACAATTAAGTTGCACAAATGCGTTCCTACTTCTGTGCTGAAGACAGTAATGAATATATTAAATCAGGATTTGTTTTAAGAGTGATTTTAGATATCTGGGAAACTTCACCATTAGCTTTCCTCCAAACTGATACTTTTCCTTTCCTGCAGCATTGCTGCCTCCCCTTTAGCCAGTTCCCTGGTAGCAATGTCACATGTAAGTAATATCTTTAGTAATACCCTGTGTGGCAGCTATCAGATACTTTACTATAAAGCCTAGGAGATCTACTACATTTTCCCTGGCTACAAAAATTGATTATCTTCAAAATAATAGTGTGATGTGACCTGACTTTGGTAAAAGCATGTCATGTTTCATTCCCCTTTCCTCTCTCCCTCCCCTCCTCATATCACTCTTTTCTCCAAAGTTTATTTATAAGTCTTATATGCTACTGGAACAAGCTTAGCAGCCCTGCAGTTACCATTCTTAAATACAGGTCACCGTTATTTGCTGTTCTCCAACCACAAGCCTGATGTCCCATTTGCTCATTTGTTAGATATGCCTGAACTAAACAATTGCAAGTGCTAAGTCTCCTGGAGTTCTAGGACAAAAAAAGCCTTGTCCCCAGTGTTCACCTGCCTCCATGCAAGTGCATGGAGCTCTCCAGATTTTACTGTAACAATTTCTCTTTTCCATCTCTACCAATGGCTTTTACATTCTTTAGAGAAGGGGAACGCAGGCAGTTTGCTGCTAATTTCTGTTCCAATCAGAGCAAGGCTAAAGACTGTCGTATAATGAAAAGATGCAGCAAAAGGATTATGTACTCACAGCAGGCTTACTGGACTTGGACAGTCCCTTGCATGGACTGCCAACTCCTTCTACAGGCCTGTAAATGTCTAGATCTTTTCAGGACTCAGTTCTCTACTTAGCTCATACTCAGCCTCCGGCCTGCTCAACTATTCAAGTACCAGCAGTCTCCAATTCTGGGCTCAAATAGCACAGACCTGTTTTTGAGAGCTCCTCATCCCTATAAAGGAAATCAAGCCTTATTTCTTCTGCAGCACAGGATTCCCAGGCAACACCCCTGCCACAAGCTGGGATTCTCCTTGCATGTCTTAATTCTTCCATCCCTTTCTGTTCTCTTGCAAACCAGGCAGTCCTTTTTTCAAGAACCCACAGTATCTGCCCCCAAGCCTTTCCTCTGGGGGGGAATTCTAACTCCCATTTTCATTTATTTATGATGTTTTAACATAATTCTTCCTCACACCTAAAGCTCTGTAATAAGATCAGGCTCACCCTAAGGTGTGTGTGTGGGTGTGTGTGTGTATATATGTATAGATATATGTATAGATATATATGTGTATTATGCTCCCTGCCTCCAGTTAACTCTTTCAGGGCCAGCATGGGATTTTTGCATGATGTCTCAAAAGTGTGCTAAAGAGTAAGCTGACAGCAGCTGACCATGAACTTCTAATTATTGCATCATGAAGCGTTGGTTTGGGTATTTACTAGAGAAAGAAAGTGCTTTGATGTTGACGTAAATGTTGTTCATTAACTTCTTTTCCTCTCCCGTGTTTCAAACTAAGCTGAAACTCAGTATTTGTTCCCTTGGAGAACAAGTTATGTAAACTCCTGATGAAAAGTAAATATTTTTTTTAAAGAAATTGATTACTATTGACCCAGTCTGGAACAGCTACTGTAAAGGAGCAGAGAGGGTTCCTCTTTTCTGACATCACTGGGCTTAGGTAGACAAATATGACAGCCATTATCGCATCAGGAATAGCTTCCAGGCAACTACTAATTTTAAGCCTTCTGAGACCCAGATGGAGATTTGGGGCTATGTATTATCCCCTCTTCAATGACATAATGTTGGATTTTTTCAGAGGCCTTGCTTAGAAGTCTTAATATTTGAACAAATTCAGCCTTGCACCTACAACATTACTCCATATATCACAAACCTTGCATGAAGGCTAGGAAAAACACTATTCCTACCTGTGGCACCTGGTAGGGTAGCATGATCTTAGAAGTCCTTCACGCTAAGGTGGCTCTTTTCACCTACCGATCTCCAGATGCATCACCAAACAGTTATTCAATTTCCCCAGTTATCCCAGTTTCACACACAAAGATACTGAAGCTGAGATAGCCCAGGCTTCCAACCACCCCTGTAATGTTGGTGATGATAGTCTTGCTCTGAGTTGGCGGTTTGTCCGGATGATCTCCAGAGATCCCTTCCAACTGAATTTTGACCCAAATGGTTAGATTATCCAGGTTCACCGCTGGCCACTGTCACTTCCCTCGTGCCAGCACAGCCCTTCGTTGGACTTGTTAATCCAACTCAAGGAGTGAAACTGCCAAAGAACTAACCTTACCATAATGAATGTTTCATTTTCTGCTGGCATAGCTCCCTGCATCACCTCACCGCATGGTCAGTTGAATGCCAGAGGAATGACAGAGAAGGGTGAGAGCCTGTGGCTGCTAGGGACAGGGGATGGGACCTCCCCTTTCATCGACAGCAGCTACCCCAGCCTACCTGTAACGTCAACTCATGTCTTAGGGGAAGACGTGGAATAAAGCCTGCCCCGTCCCCCAGGCCTGCCCCGTTCCACCAATCTGTCCCAGTGTCACAGATGCGGTTGAGCACATCTGCCAGATTGCCACAAGTTTGCTGCAGGTGAGAACTGTTACACATGGGTCCTAGCTTTTGGTCTACAGGCATGGCTGCAAAACGCTGGCAGGGGCATTTCTTGAGCCCAGGATTTGATACCTGGTATTAGTGCCATCTGCCGTCTCCTTAATCTGCTCCTAGCACATTTACCATCTGAATGAAGGTACAGACCCCTGAGTCCAGAACATACCTCTCCAGCACATGTGGATGGTACAGGCTTGGCAGCTTTCTGAACACTAAAAGTCATATTTTATTTAAAAAAATTAAACATAAGAAAGCCTAGCTGCACATAAAATGTACTTAACATCTCCTCAGTTCCTAACTCCCCCAGTTCCTACTTAGTCTGAAGCATTCTTTCTTTGTAGGCTCAGGTTCTTCTGCCCTAATGGCTTCTCTTCAAAAACATGGACTCCTTTCTCCTTTTATTTCAGGCCAGATTTCTTTGACCTTTCTTATGTAACAAACGTGAATCTCTGCTCTAGGGAAGCCTGTTTGCCCTTCCCTCTCTCCTACCACAAGCTTCCCATTGTATTCTGCAAGTCTGTTCAACAATAACTTGATTTCTATTTTGCCTTTGATAATTTTCCATTCTGCTGTCCCTTCCAACTTGGTCAGATTGGTTTCCCTGGTTCAAACTGGTTTGACTCAAACCCTCTCCTCCATATATCCTTCATTCAGAAGCCTGAGTACTCTCTTTAGGGCTAGCTATCCTGCATTGTCCCCAACCTGAGTGGACAGGCTACAAACCCAGGCAGTAAATGAGAAGTGAGAACTCTCTCTTCAAACATTTACAAAACTTCTGTGCTGGTCTTCTTAAAAGCTCGCTCAGTCTGATTAATTGCAGTGAAATTTAATGGAGTTTCCTATTTTTCCCTCCCACAATTCTTTTCATAGATTTAGGCTGTGGCGAAGTTTGAATTTGGGGTGTTCAAGACAATAACACACAAGAACAACTCCACTCCCTCTCTCTGCTCTACCAACAACACCAAACTGTCTGGCTCATCGCTCCAGTGATTTTCTGCAGCCACTGTTGCACTCTCTCCAGTGTTTTTGGTAAAGATAAACTAGATGGAAGACAGGGTGGGAAATGAATATGAAAACAGCTATTTCTGAAACAACCTAATGTATGGACACTCCTGCAGGAAAATAAGGTATTTCCTGTTCAGCTTCAGCTGCAGAAAGGGCCTTCGGATAGGAGTAGGGGAATTTACTTTTGAATAAAATATGGTGCTAATGTGTTGGAGGCACACGTACCTTCCAACGGAGACACAGCTCTTAAGGAATTATCTGGATTTGTTGGGGACAGCCTTAGGGTGAGCTGCTGTTGATTTCAGAATGCAGAAAAGGCCACAGAGTAAAAATCGCTTGGAGCAGGAACTGTCTTTTACTCACAAATGCTTATCGATCCTAGCACAGTGGGACCCAGCTGTGATTGAGATCTGTAGGCCCAAAGAACTTATTATCTAGTTATGAAGGAAAAGGGTTTTCCCCCCTCATCACTGTTAAAATATAAAGCAGAAATTGTTCATTTCATACTGACTAGAATTTTGCTTTCAGTAAAACTGAAGAGAAATGATTTAATTATTCACCCTCTATTTACCTCTGATAGCAAAGCGAAGTTAACATAGGCAGCTTCATGATGCATGTAAAACAAACCCCACCAGAAACTATTCCAGGATTTTATAGAAAATTATTTGCATCATTATTATTGTATTGGGCTGCCTGCAATTTTCAGGTCAAACCCAGTATATTTTTACCCCAGTATCTGAAATGACTTCCAAAATTATGCAGATGATTATTTTATTAGCATGTACCCAGATGGTAGACTGCCAGGCCCAGTTACTGTCATTGCATCTAGCTCTCTACAATGCAAAAATTACTGAGAAAACAGTGCATTTGGCCATTCGCTACATAAATTAAGATCAAACGAACAGTTACAAACTCAACTCAAACAAAAACAATAAAAGGTGTGTGAGCCATCAGGTTAGTAACATTAGATGTAACGTTAACACTAATCTTTTCATTTAAGATGTCTAACATGGAAACACGTCTGATAGGCTGATACCATACCATAGTGTCATTTATCACTCACTTCATTTAAAGGCAGTTCTATTTAAAGCATTGGTCAACACAGTCTTGCAATTTACTCTACAGGTATACCCTAGACCACAGCTGAAAAACGGGAACCTAACAGCAGAGGAAACTACCGTAAACAGGCAAAAATAAGTATTCGTTTTAAGAGATCATTTTTATACCACAGGAATGAGATCCACCTGTGGCACTTAACCATACTAGAATGACAATGGTGTTTATTCCAAGATTATATTTTGCATAAATGCAATCCTTGTTTCTTCCTACTTCCCTACTTCTGAGGGATGATTAGCAGATACTGTTTGTAAAACCATTTTGGAAATGAAAAGCACAGAGTATAATACTGGCTGTGAGGATAAAGTACCCAGTGTATTGTAGGATTACTTATCAAATCACAAAACTAGAGAAATGCAGGGCTGCAAAGAACCTCCAGACATGATGCTGTGCAATGAGGCCGGATCAACTGTCTGGCACGCACATGGGACGATAAGCTGTTTACAACAGGCAGTGATGACTTGCTATCAGGGTATTAGCTATTTTAGCACCCATCCTCACCCTAGGATCTTTTTAACTGCCGAGTGCTCCCTTCCTCCTCTCCCTGCTTTGTTTTCTTCCAGTATTTGGGTGTCCAGCTCAGCTCCCTGGTCCCTTTCAGCAGCTGTGACTCCTCCCTTCAGGCATGGGGATCAGACCTTCTTCTTGGGTAGTCACCCTGGCCAAAAAGCCTGACATATTTGCCCTTCTTTGGCCTCAGACTATGCAGTGTTTCAGCCTTGATGGGCAGAAGGACTGCATACGGCCTGAGGATTCTTGCCCTCTCCCCAGTTCTGGGACCTCCCTCTCGTCTCTACAGCAAGTTGCCCAGTGTGGTCCACTGGGATGCACAGACAGATAGATTGCTGGGAAGGAAGGTAAACGCAGCAGGAGTCACTTGGCTTTCCTTGTTGGGCTGTGGTAGGTAGGCAGAAGACTATGGCAGTGTTTGTTGCTTGGACAAGATCTCCATCTTCTCCAGGAAGAGGCAGAAGACCAGATCTAGCCCACAGGCTACCAGCCTGACCATGTGGATTAAGACATGTGCAAAGAGTGTGAGAGCGTCATCCACAAGTGCAGAAGTCAGCACACCAAGAAGCGGGCAACCTAAATACCCCTTAAACTGTTTTAGAAACCTGCCCTCTATCTTTTCAGGTGTGGGTAGGAAAATGGTACTATGTGGATCTGGATAAGCTAGAAGCCAAGTGTTATATTAGAATCCGTATGCCACAGGAGGTTTGTGAACACACGTCTTCTGTTGAAATGTACTATATATACCATACCTACAGATTGGGTTTAGCTTTACACCTGGATTCTTCTGGCACAGCTGTTCACACAAACATGATGACAGCTCTGATAGCCAGCACTGTCTGATGCAAACATGGGATGCAGGAAGCAAAAGAATTCAAAGAAGCAAAAATGCGCCTTACCATTAACGCACAACAGCAAACAGTCCAGTCATACTCTTGCTGAAAGGGATGTGATGTCTCGGTCAGCGCTTTGCCTAATGAGCTACCAACATCAATCTGTCATCATCTGTATTATTTGAAATGGCCTCTGCTGACACAAGGTATATTCATGTATGGGCCCTCCTGGGCACTTGAGAGTTCAAGTCCTGGCCAGTTTATACTGCACTGAATGATAATGAAGGCTAACAGAATGATCACTGGCTTCCTTTCCTCCAGAGGAGGCAGGAATGTTGTTGTAGGGATCTCCCCCAGCCAATAATGGCTTTTGATTACAGAACAGGGAATATGAATGGTTTGATCCTCTTTGTATAAACAGTCTTTAGCAGTTTTTTTGTAACAGTGCTTTAGCTCTCCAAAGCACATGTAACTCATCTGTCCATCTGTAGTGGCATTTCCATGAGCCTGCCCCATGTACCCGATTCTCAAGAACTTGTAGGGCTATATCAGAAGTCAAGAGATGAACACTGACAACAGTTGGATATTTCAGGAAAAGAAATCTCATTTTAGTGCTCCGTCTCCATCTGCTCCTATGATACACACAAAATATTACAAAATAATCTTTTACCAGTATTTCAGTTGCACTCAGAAAATTATTTCCTTTGGAATTACCGACTGAGTGAGATTTTAGATTGCAAGAAGATTACTAACTAAAACCCACCAGTTCTTCCAAAAATGCAATCCTTGACCTGGATCATTATCCTACAGTATCACAGAAGCTCCATACAGTGAAACAATGTTTTTGTCATGAAATCTGTGGCAAACGGCATGTAATATAATCTTATTGGTGCACAGTTAATGAAAGATCTTATTTCCTTTTAGAAAGTATCTGGGAATTGCCACACCATAATCCTAATCAAGTCTTATGCTCCAGTGAAAATGCACAGTTACATCTACAGCTCAGTTCCAGGTGAATTATATAGCAAGACAAATAACAATGTTTGACACCAGTACTAACAACTTTTCTCTTATGAGCTCATGGGTTTCAAAATGTATGAACTAGACCTCATTTCCCCTTCCATAGCAAGTAAATATTATGGGTTTTGTTTTGTCAATGAAATGAATGAGAGGTGAAAGGTTTTCCTCCAGCTTTCCCAAGAACAGTCTCAAATTTCCAGACTTGTGTGTGGACTACAGGATGTTCTCCTCTCTCCTTAACACATACTGAGATGCAGACAAGAGTTGGGAAGGGACCAGCTAAGGTATTCATTTTCACAGGCATATTTTATACCAAATGCTCTTGGTAAGCAAAGAAGACAATGCTGTCCCTAGAGTGGAATTGCCATGTATGCAATTAAAGGCAGGCTGCACAAATATCTGATAAAACAGAAGTGAAGCAGACAAATCCCAAACTCACAGTTTCAGGTGGTTTTCAAAAATTTTTAGCTTGCGGGGTCCTAAAAGCTGTCCAGTGTAAGTGCAGCCCTCTGTGTAGTAAACCCAGGCTGAAAAACTTGTGTAATACATTATTACAGACAACGTGACAAGGGGCAGCTCTTTAACCCCTGTGAGAATTCAAACTGGTGATAGCCTCAAGGACAAGTCCAGAAATAGGATTCCCTCTGAAGAGGGAGATAGAGGTATATTTGTTGCAGACACGGGTGAATGGCTCAACAGGATACTGGTGGCAGATGTGATGCGGTGAGATCCAGCTGAACAGTTGAGCGAGAAGGTCTGGGCTTAGACATGGCCTTGCAAACAATGCAAAAACCTTGAGTTTGATTTATTGTGGACAGGGAATGACTCAAAGAAATGATGACATAGTCAGCAGGCTAGCATAGGCAGTAGGATTAGTGGTTGTTGTGCTGGCATGAACACGAGGAGGTCATCATATCAAAATGAACATTTTGAGTGGTAGTGACAGAGATAAAACAGGGATTTCAGATATGTTTGACAGAAGAGGGGGATGTGGACCCAGATTTATTATGTTAAACAAGAGGAGTCAAAGAAGTCCAAGGGACTCAGTCAGGGAAAGGGTATTGCCACTAGCAGGGACCAAGAATGGAAATTATGAATAGAAAAATTAGAAATCCATTGAGAGCAAAAATTCTCAGCAAAACAGTAGAGAGAATAAGCCAGAGGCAAAGGCTGAGATGCCCGCTCCAAAATCTAGGAGCCTTAACAAAGCGGCTCTGTGAGTTCTCCTCTCCTATTTTATTCCTAAACCTGTGAGTACCAAAGCAGTAGTCTGCACTATCCAGCTATATGTATGCATACTTTAAAACTGGCTGAATTTAACGTCACTGTTACATTCTGAATTTCTGGGCAGAATGTAAACAAAGATACAGCTCTCTCCTTTGACATTACAAGACTTAACAAATTCACAAACATATCAGAGGAAAAGGTGTTGATGTGCACCTCTTTATACAAATGTGACACTGGATGTTGTTTTTAATCAGCCCATGATGCTTACATTCACATCTCCCTTTCTTTCAGACTCTCAGGAGAAGGTCACCTGGGCTCCTGTGTCTGTTCAGCGTGTTTCATGTTTATTGCTCTTGACAGCTTGGAGTCTCCGTCTGCTCTGAATCTGATGTTGTATAAATTCAACAACGAAAGCTGTAAGTCTAGTTACTTTGTTGTCAGAAAAGTCATCTGCACTTTATGTCTAACATGCAAAATTTCAACTCCTTAAGCAAAAATGTCTATATAATTTTTCTCAAACTGCACTAACTTGGAAAGACCCATTTCCCCTACTGTAAATATGTTATTAATACATTGCCTCCATGTTATCAAATTAAAATATTGCCCTCATGTTTCCTAGCCAAATCCTAGTTTCTTAGCCATGTGGCTAGAAGGCAGCAGAAAGAGTGAATAAATGGACGATTTAGGGGCATGCAGCAGTATAAAAACCTTCTTGATTTTTTGCCTCACTAAAAGTAAGTAACTCTTTTATTAAAAAACAAAAAACAAAAAACACCCTCTCACTTGTCAGAATTATGTAAATCTCACTGGGGTATTGATTTTGTCTGTCATGCCCCCGAGGTAGTGTTCCAAGGTGAGAGAGCACATCAGTTTGCCATCTTCCCACCTGCCATTCCCCAGCCCTGCCTGTAACAGCATAGACCCTCCTATCACTTATGCCAGCAAACATCGACATGGAAATTATATGGGCCATTTTCAAAGCAGTAGCCCAATATAGGTAGGTAACAATTTCACGTTCTTAGAGGTGGCTTTTTTTGTTCAACAAATAGAGAGCTAAAAAATGCCACAGGATAAGACTGTACAGCTCTTTCTCCCGATCTCAGTGGAAAAAGCACTCACTTTTACAGTGCCAAGAGTGAACTTGGTTTCTCACATCAAAAATATGTCATTGCAGCTGAGCATGTGGGAATCCAGAGAGCACAGCAGGTTTCCCTAACACTCGCTACTAAATTTCAGGATTTAACTCAGCAAGGGAAGATAACATGCAGAGTTATCATGTGGAGTTCTCCATCAAAGAGACTAACAGCATCATAGGACATGACAGCATCCAGACCAATTGTGCACTTACGTCTTGTAAAGTTGCTGTAAGTAGAAGGAATTAATGTGGCATGTTTCAATTTGCCTCTTTAAATATGGGGCACGTGTCTGTGGATCCTCTGGTAATGCCAGAACAGTCACTGGTTCTCATGCTAAGCGGAATTTAAATTCAATTAGGTCGATGTGCTGTTCACCAGGACGAGAAGAGGTCAGTTTGACCACAGGGTGTCTGTTTACTCAGTGAGGCACACTCTGTTTCTGTTGCCTGATCCCCTCTTTGCTCACGCTGTTCAGCTCTGCTGTCTCTTCCCAGGTATCTTGCCTTTATTTGTTCTAGATTCTGATAGAAGGCAGTGATTAAGGTGAGCATCCATATTAGCTGGAAGCTCTAACCATGGCACAAGGACATAAAGCCAAAAGAAAAACGTCAGTAACTGCCAGTCTCCGATTTCACAGTTGCCACCCATCCATCTCCGACAGAGCTTTCCCACACCCGTCAAATTGCACAGGCATGATACTTAGAGAACCATGACATGCCTGCAGGGCTGAAGCGAAAATATCCCATTGTTAAGAGTTACACGGCAATATAAATAACTTTGACCTTGATAAAAGGGTAAAAAAGTACAAAAACTTAGGAAAGGGAGTTTAGACATCAGGCCAGCGTGATACAGGGTAAAAATCATGCAGAGGCTTGAAAAGTCTCATCTCAGAAAATAGTTATTGTTATTAGCTGCAGCATCAAAACACATGGCAGAAAAAATGTGGAAATGGGAAGGAAAATTTAAATGAATCAAAAACTTCACTAAGATAAAACATCTTATATAGTCTTCCCACTCGGAAGAAAAGGAGAATAGACTCTCATGTAACAAATGCTAGTTATGTCACCTAATGTACTTCTGGAAGGCACTCAAGTATTTCAGTGGCATAGACAATAGAAGAATAAAATAGAACAAGACAGAATAGAACAAAAATAGATTTAGTTGGCTTTGCCGGGTAGAGCTGGTCAAAAAATTAGAACATGCATTCTATTAAAAAATTCAGAATTCTAAACAGCTTTTCACACCCTTTGAAAACGAGCAGAGTTTTCAAAGACAAACTCTGACAGATAAAATTTCTCTGAAATAATCAATACTAAATCTTGAAATGCAAATTGGAATCCTCTCAGTCCACCTGTGTCTTCAGTAAGTCCAGGAATCCCTTTTACTGAGTGTCATCTGGTTTCCCTGACTCTTAGAGTCCTCTTGCGTTTTCAACAGGTTCTTTTACCCAAGGATATCAAAACATTTTACAAAATTCAGTGAGTCATTTCAGTACACAGGAGTGAAATGGGAAGTAGTTATTATTTCCATTTTACAGTTAAAAGAAAATAGAGATAAACAGATTGAGGTCAGCAAAGTTCAGTGAAATGGGATCTCTAGCTGGGCACCCAAAACTAGAAGCTCCCAAAATAGATGCCACTTCTGCCACATTTTATTTCCCATGGTAAGAAATTTCTCAACTGCAAATACTACATTTATGGCAAATGATCAGCCTTCCCTCCCTTAAAGACTCTCAAGTTAAAAAAAAGAGAAGAAATACATTAAAAATATTTTAAAATGAACTCACAATGTTCTACTATTACAGTTGGGCAAAGCTGTTCAGACTTTACTGACTATTCTGCAGCCAGAAAATTCTAGTATAGGGACAGCGTGGAAATCTTGGACTGCAGTGAACCTAAGACAACTTACATTTGCTGAAGATTTGCCCATGTGGTGGAAAGCTGCCAATAAGATTATACAGATCAATTAGTCTGATAGACTGAATTTGTCATTAGGGTTTTTTTTTTTTTCCAGACCTCTATGGGTTTTCATTTACTTTATACTGTCATTTAAGAAAGCAACATGCTGCCTTGACAAGGCTGGTCACTTTAACTATATGACATTTCTCCTGCAGACACTTTCTTTCTTTAGCGTGCAGGTTTCTGTGTAGATGATGGCTATACAGAAGACAATTCTGATGTTCCAAAATCTTGTGAACTCTATGATCCAAAAGTAATGTACTTAATCAAGTGTAAAGCAAGAGGTGATTAAGTTTTGTAGTACTGTACAATGCCTGACTGCTCAGAAATGCACCTTTTGATGTAGTGCAGAGAATTGGACCAGTTCTGTCTGCTTCACCAAAAAATGGCATTTTAGTAATTTGAAAATAGAGCCTCAGAAATCCCCACAAGTGTTTAACTTTGATCCGAAGCTTTAAAAAGTTGATATTTATCTGTTTGCTTGTTTAATTTGTTTGAATTTAAAGCTCTGAAAGGTGTCTACTTGACAACTTGTGGAAGGAATTCATTGTCTTCCATCTAGATGAGGCTGAGCAAGGGCAGCAAGCTTCCAGTGCAGCACTAGCTGTTCTAAGCGTCCAAATAAAACAAACAAACAAACAACAACAACAGCAACAGAAGAGAAATCAAAAAAACAAAGCCATCGACTCACCTTTCCATTGTGGTTTATATGAATTATTAAGAACCGAAATTCATTGGAGCCTCAGTTCTTGAGCATGGAATCAATACTGTATTTCATATAACAAGGACAATAAACCCAACTTGTTCTATTTCTATCACACTGAAGCCCTGTCAAGTCTCTCATGCAACCTAATTTTACCAGGGCCAAAGCCTAATGCTACTGATGTGAAAGACTGCTATTCACTTCAGTGAGGTCGAGATATGACCTTCTGTCCAGGAGCCCGTGGAATTCAGCTCATTTCTTGGGCTGCAAGAACTATTTGTAGCCACTACTAAAGGCCGACTCTTTACTATGTCCCAGGCATGAAGAAGTGAGAATAGATCTACATCGAGTTAAGTGAGAAGTTATTTCAGCATTTGCTATCTCTTGAGTGAAGCTGCCAATAAAGGGCCAATCATGACAGGACACAGGACTGCAGGGAGCTGACACCAGTAAGCTCATTTCCAGAGGGCAGGTCTGTGTCAGTCTGTGTCCAAAAGGTGAAAGACTTCTTTTCATATTACCTGTACCCAAACTCTATGATTGCACTTTCAATTTTGTTCCCGTTTTAAAAAACGAATCGCCACTTCCTCACACCCATTCTAAGCCCCTCCAAAAAGTGCTACCGCAAACAGCTTGCATTGCACTGCTGCCTCTGATGATCATATGGGTACATTTCTGATCCCCTACGTTCTAGCAAAGAAAGCTCAGGCAACCACCAAGAAGGGAAGGTCTTGGGTAAGCTCTTCTTGCGTAAGTAGATCTGAGAGGTGTGGTGGACTCCAAAGGATTTCCCTTTCATCCTGCTTGGTAAGCGAAATGCTGAATGTGAGTGGCAAAGGCAAGGGAAGAAAGACGATAATAAATCCTGTTTGCTCTTTGAGGTTTTAAAATCGCTCTTTGAAAATAGATTCTGAGGTTGACCGAACTGGGTTATACAACATTTAGGGATACCTAGAGTTTGAACGCAGAAATGTTATAAATCTTACAGTATTTGCAACTCTGAAAGGGAGCAGAGGTAACTTATGAAACTCAGTAATGAACATAGAATTTACAAATAGGGGCTAAGTCCTTCCCCGGTGTAATTAAGTGTCACTCAGGTGAAGACCAACTGCAATCTGCAGCTGCTGGAAGTTTAGCCCAAAATTTCATACCAGAAAAGGGGAAAGGAAGTTACAATTTCACAAGTTAGAAACTGAACTGCAGGATGAAAATAAAGAGTAAAATACTATATTCTAAATAAATTTGCTACGATTCAGAAGATACCCACAGGGAACACTCAAAAGATGCTTTTGGGACACCAGTTTTCATCCTTCAAGTGTTCCAGAGGCCAAACAAAGTCAGAAGACAAATGATCATCCGCGTGACAGAACAAATGCCTGAACACCTGACATCAGCTGGTAGGAAGAAATGAATCATCCTCAGAGTCTTTTTTCTTCTTAAAAGAGAGAGGAAGAACCTGTATTTTCCCCAGGAATATCTTCAGTATGTAAACCCTAGTATCCAGAACTCCCCTCATACTACACATGGATCAAAGGAATCATTCCCAGTCTCTTTAGTCTCTTCCAGATCTTCTTCCTCATCAGTTAATCTGTCCAACAGAACCGTTTCT